TTGTAATTCACAGATGTACAGAGTGCTTTTACTCAGGTAAAAAAGAAAAGAAGCGTTCAACACAGAAAAAGAAAGGCCTGGAAAATACTTGCTACATAGTAATGGATGATATGTACTCTATCATCTTATCACAAGTAAACTAAACAGTATTTCCCCACATATACATCAAAGTGGAAATCATTAAAAAATTTCAGCAATTTTCGTGAGAACTGAAATCTCAAGTTTGTGACAATTTGCACACCATTAAGCAGCCTTCAGTGTGAGGATGGAGACTGTTCTGATCATGATCTTGACACATTCTTCCATAGAAAGCTGGGGGTAGAGACAGCATATCTGAAGGTAATGTGATTCAGGAATGTTATTTACTTATTGAGTTCATATATTACTTGTATATCTATTTTATTTATTTATTTATTTATTTATTTGCTTGTCTTTTTTTGTTTGTTTGTTTTGACTGGACAAGCTCTTCTCTTGTGTAGCTCTGGTTGCCCTGGAACTTGCTTTGTAGACCTGGCTGGACTAAAACTCACAGAGATTCACCTACCTCTGCCTCCCCAGTGCTTGGATTATAGGTGTGGGCCATCACCACTCAGCTCTCACTTGTATATTTGTAAGTGACACATGAGGAGGTGATGAAAAATACTTAAACAAGCTCTGAGCCTTTAATTTCTTATGGTCAAGTCCACCCTGACCTTTAAAGATTGTCTTATAACAGTGTCTAATACATAAGCCTACTATTAAATACATTTAAAACATGTGTTGAATATATTCTCTTCTCTGGTATATCTTTTTCACATAAATCAGTGAACTTAAAGATAAATAAGAAAATGAGAAGAGGTTATTGAATTATGCATGACATATTATAATGTATATGACAACACGATCCTCCAGAAATGCCTCTCAGTGCTATGTATGTACTATTTGTGATGACTGAATTTATTCTTGCTTTTTTATCAAAAAAGTTTTCTTAACATCATTGCCTAGGAAATTTGTTGTTGTTAGTCTATTCTGCTTAATTTTTCTGTTCTCAAAACAAGATAAGAAATCACAAAACCTTGTATGGATTCGCACACTCAAATGATAACCATTTGATATGTTGCTCAATATTGTATTCAACTTCATTTGACCAGAAAATGAAAGCTAATACTAGGGACCTTAAAATTACAGGAGGGCTCTGAGGTTCTTTGACAATACTCTCTGTGAAGCACTATCATATTGAATTTACAAAGGTAAAGGACACAATTATTTTCTAAATTAATATGGTCCAACAATTAATCGGAGATGCTTTGGATTTCTGTGTAGACATCTTGAATTCTCTAGAGATCATGAAAAGTATAATCTAACACTTATTCTCAAAGGGATTATTTTTTAAAATTATGCATATTTATGTATATATTTGCTTCTATGTAAAGGTATCTGCACGTGAATAAAGTGTTCAGGGAGACTAGAAGGTGTCAAGTCCCTGGAGCTGGAGTTACAAGTAGTAGTGAGACAAATGACATGGGTGGAAGTGAACTCAATATTGTCTGTAAGAGCATAAGTTACTCTTAACCACTGAGTCGTCTCTGCAGCCCCCTTAAAAGAGTGAAATACAGCTCTGATAAGACGAAAATGAGTTGGTTAGGAGCATCTACTGACAAATATATAGATATGTTATAACACTGGATGAGTAATAAAGAGCTATTAAAATTCTCCAATAATTTGTTTCTCATAGCCATATACAGAGTCACCACATGATGTCAAAATTTCAGTTAGATGACAGCTATGAAGTATGCCATGACAGATCTTGTGTAATACCTTGTTAACCAAGATGTGCTTGCACAATCAGATTGTGTCAAAGCAGGAAATAGGTAGAGTTCATATAGAGAGTTCCGACTCTTGTCTGTCACCACCTTTCTTCTTCCAGCAAACAAACACTTTATTCTGCTCGGACATCAGCAATACATAGCACTCTTTTATTTGAAGATGAATCTCCTGATGCCAGTGCATTTATAACTAACTCATCAGTAGTAAAAAGTTATAGTTGGTGATTGCACATCTGGACTGTTGTCAGTCTCTACTGATAATTTTATTGAATACATTTATTTTTATTTAATCTCTAAATCTAAGTATACATGATTTAAATAGCTTATTTTCAACTTAGAAATGCTTTTTTACAGATATGTGGGAATGAATTTCTTTATTCTAAAATCAGAAATAATGTCTGTGATTTTCCAAAGTAGTTACATTAGAGGTATCCTTTCTAGAACTACTATTTAGGAGTGCAGGAATTTTTCTGTGCACTAATGCAAATATTATTAGACTATGGATGAGAAGGTAGCCTTGCTAATGATTTTAAATTGTCCAACTCAACATTATTGAAACTTGAAATAAATGTGCTGTTGGTGATCATCAGAATATATAACTGGTCCAGAAAATACATTCAAGACAAGCAGAAAACAAAACATTTCATTTTTTCTTATCATAGGTGAATATACTTAGGTAGCTTGTAGGTTCTTTACATGTAGAAATTGTGTGGAATTCTTACATGGCAAAGTAGTTTCCCTGATAGATATTTGTGTTTGTGGCAGACAGGAAATGATTCAAGAGAATATTAGAATATTATGATACTACTTTATATCATTTAAAAGGGAATTATATGACTTTGCAGAAGTTTGTAATCCCAAAGGATATTTATTCATTCTTTTCTTCATGTGTTTAAATGATGTTCTCAACTAGTCAACATCTGAACATACAGTGCCTGCTAATCTGGCCAAATTTCTGATGTTGGATTAAAAGCAGTCAAAGTCACGATAAGTGTCAATCCCAAGAGCTATTTGATAATAGATTTTTTTGTCCTAAATCTCAATCCTTGAGGTGAGACAGCTCATTTTAGAAAAGACAGAGGTAAGTTGCATAAGTGAGTGTCAGAAATTTCTTGTATTGTAGATCAGGTACAGCTCAGAATTCCAGTGCCACTGCTTAGCAAATTCAAGGAAGCAGGGGTATTTATTCTTGGAAAAAAAAAAGAATACTTCTCGGGAATTTCCAAGGCTGTTGTTCTTGCAGGATATTTGTCCAGATTGTGTCCATAATGACTTCTAGCATTTCTGTAGTATTTATGTTCTGTGCTAACTGCTTCATAGCTCAGATAAACATGACAAAGCAACCTGAGTGAACACTGTATATGACACTGGAATTTAGAAAATATTACAGTAGATACTCAGGAGAATGTGACTAGTTATCATGTGATTCTACCAGTAAAGCACTCACCCCAGGTACCTCTGCTGGAGTTTGATTGATATATTTCCTTGTCTACTTAATATTCTAAATCACCACAGCCCCTGGCTCTCAGAACTGAAGGCTATGACGCCACATACCCGGTACTTAGATTTCAGTTGTGTTCCCAAAATTCTTCTGATGTGTCAGTATTAAATCTCTAACACTGATATTATTCATGTGTAAAGTGGGATATTGAGTCACAGTATTTATCTGCTAGGTTTTCATGAATTTTAAACGAAGCCCAAAGAGAATCACATAACAACTGACACCAAACATAATCTATGTTATTTTGTGTGCCCTAATTGGGGCAAAGGGTGTTTTGGAACGTTTCATGAAAATTACCTATTTATGCATTGCATCCATCTATATAGGCCTTTATTAATTGTAGAGTAAGAAAAACTTCTTTCTGGTTAGGAGAAATCATTAAAAGCCCACTGTAGATGCTGGCAGTATGACTCAGTAGAGAATGCAGTTGCTATGCAAGCATGGGCACCAGATTTTAAATCACCAGAACCCATGTAAAAGCCAGGTGGGTGTGGCTGCATGCTAATAACTTCAGTGCAGGCAGAATGTAGTGACAGAGATTAACCAGAGCAAGCTGTGTTGCCAGACTAACTGAAATGGTGAGTTTGGGGCTCCCTGACAGATCCTGTCTCAACTTATCAATTAGAGAGCAATTGGGAACACCTAATGTCTGCCTCAGGTCAGGTCTCTACATGCATATATATCTATATCTATATCTACCTATCTATATCTATATCTATATCTATATATCTACATATATATATATATATATATATATATATATATAGAGAGAGAGAGAGAGAGAGAGAGAGTGAGAGAGAGACATACATACCAGCACACAATGAAGTGAGTGTGTGTGTGTGTGTGTGTGTGTGCATGTGTGTGTTTTACTTAATACCCTTAATAAGAGAATATGTTCCAAATTATTTCCCTGTTGTTGGACATGACATTAATTTATCATACGTTTACCATTATATAAAATATCATGATGAAGGTTTAAGATTTTCAAGGTTCAGTCTTGGTATTATGGACCAGACTTTGAGAATAAATGTATTAAAACACTGGACAAATAAGCCAATTTATGGACATTGATGTAAAAATATGACAGAGTTGTGTGTGGTAATGTACAGGTATATCTCAGCACTTGAGATTCTGAGGCAAAGTTGTAAGTTTGAAGTTAGACTCGGGTACATAGTGAAATCTTGTCTCAAAAAGAAAAGAAAAACTTTTAATGAATGAATAACAAACAAACATCCTATAATAGAGTGGGCAGAGCTTACTATCAAACTATTACTTATCAAACAAGGGTTAATCGTGTCATAGTAGTGCCCTGCCATGATAATAGTTGGGTGATTTTGCTGCTCTTGAAAGGACAAAGGAAGAATTCCTAAATTTCTAGACTCTGAAGAGAGGACCTCTATGGATTAGAGTTTGACAGGAAAGGAGACACTAATGACCCAGAGCATTTGTGGGTGCAGGGTTCCAGGACCTTCACTAAGGCATTTTGATTTATTCCTTATTGTACCAGTTGGCAGCAGGCTTCTTGAGTTGATTTTCATATCATTTTGACGATATAAATAGTATGTCCTCCTTGATATATTGCTAGTAAATCTAGGAAACGGATCTCATTACTTCCCCCAACCTCTGCGTTACTCAGAACTCCTTGTGATAAACATTTAAATGAAGATCTTTTTTCTCTTCTTTGTTTTTTAGATATGACGTTATTTCCACTGTTGTTGCTCCTGGCTGCTGTGTTACCTCCGTCCCTTCTTCAAGTACTTTTAAAAGTATTGGTAAGGTTTACTATCTCCTCAGAACAAATTAGGCAACCATGAATGCAAGGAAGCTATCATATCACTCTTCCAAACTGTTAAAGGTCAGAGTCTGGAGTAAGTCACTTTGATCCTTAACAACAAACACACACACACACACACACACACACACACACACACACACACACACACCCCTCAGGTGACTTACATCCACATGTAACTCACACTCCAGGGAATCTGATACTCTCTTAAGGCTTCCACTGGCACTCCACTCATCTACAGAAACCTGTACTTGAACTCAAACGTATACGCTTAAGAAACATTTGGGGATATTGTTACTTTACATTAAAATAAAATGTGAGGATTTCCAAGCAAGGACTTTAACATGTACATCCTTTCTGCCTTAGAAATCACTAGCTGTGAGAGGCTTTCAAGGTGCCTTCAGAACATGAAACATTAGGGAGAGATGGACGTGTCGCAGCCACTGTCAATGCAGTGTGATTAGATCCATGGGTGCAATGTCTACAGAGACTTGGGGGAAGTAAGATTGCAGGAAGGAGAAGCAACTGATCCCAGCACTGAGATATAATGTATGTGAGGGTCAGTCCGTCAATAGTTATGTTGTAACATCTTGCTCTACACTACAAAACAGCACATTTTGGAGTATGTTTGTATCAGCAAATGGCTCTTATATCTCTGCCAACTCACATAATATCACTCCATCCCCCTGTGCCACACAAATGAAATATGTAAATTTAAATATCAGTATCTGAGTTAACTTAGTAGGCTTATTGCTGTCCATTGAAATGTAAAGTCAGTAATGCTCATTTATTTTCAAGAACCCATTGTCTCAAAATTGACTTGGATATCCTATTAGATAAATCTGTCTTTGGAGTGATCACAAAAACCTGTTACATATAAAATTCTCTAATGAACACATGTATTGGCTGAGGGCCTACACCTTATCTCACAAGCTTTGAAAATCCTGGTCAGGTGGCTATTGCCTCTTAAGGTCTATAGTAAATTATGTGTCTTCATCCTTAGCACTTCCTTGCTACAGCCTAACTGAGTGTGAATCACTTAAGATTCTCTACTTTGCATGGCTATTATTATAGATCTCTCTTAAATCAAAATTGACATTTTTAGCCTCAGAAGAAATTTTATTTTTACATGCCATAAATTCATTCTGTTCTCAAAATTTTTATTTAAAGTGTTTCTAATAAAAAGGCATATATTTTCTTAAATTTATTATAAAGGCTTAATGACCAAGATTGGCCTGAGTACTTTAAAAATGACTTTCATTCACCTTAGACAACATATTCACTTTTTAATGCAACCTTAACATACACTAACATGACTTTAATTTTATTTCTATTCAGGATATGAATTTTGAGGATTTGATAACCTCTAAAGAGTCAGTCCAAGAAGAGATTGTAAACAAGCACAACCAACTGAGAAGAATGGTTTCTCCACCTGGTAGTGACTTACTAAAGATGGTGAGGGCTCACAACAGGACAGTGCATTTGGAGAGCTGTGTTTGGAGCCTGTGGATAGCATCTGGATTCTCCTGTGTGCTTTAAGAGGCTCTGCCTCTATTTTACCTTCTATTTAAAAAATCAAAAACAGAAGTATTCATTGTTTTGTTTGTCTGCATATGTGTCTGTGTCTGTCCTTATGTTATGGCATGCATGTAGAGATCAGAGTTGGTTCTCTACCTCTGTGGCTTTAGCTGTGCAATGATCAGAAGAGAATTCATTAAATTTCTTTTATAACAGTGACTCATTGGTATTATGGAGCTATGTCAATTATTGTGACTGAAATAAAACCAATTTTTTTAACTCTGGCCGCCAGTGAAAAGCCACGATGTCATTTTGGCTCACTCTTTTCTCCTAAGGTCAGAACATTTCTCCTTTAATTCCAGGGACCTTTCATATAAATAGTCTACTCTCCAGATCCAGAACCAAAGTCCATGTGTCTCTTAAATTCATTCAGTGAGGGAAAAAAGAAGCTAGGATTTATGAGGCAACTTCTTACAGCTGTAAAAATAGTCTTAGTACTTTAACATGGTGAGTGCTAGTCGCTCTACAGGAATTACTCAGTCTTTAATGATTTCTGCTGTGATTTCACTATGTTATTGAACCATTAAAAGTTTTAGTAATTTTTTTGTGGCCTTGGAAGAACAGACTACTTGTATTTATTTGGTACAGAAAAGGCCATATACAAGTTGGAGTAACTGTGGACATAGGTTATGAAACTAGTAAGAAGACCAAGAGGGTAAAGAGATGATACAAGGCATGGAAAGTGGAAGTAAACAGAACATGTGTGACATCAAATGGAGGCTGTGGGTATGCATGGGAGGATGGGCAGTATCAGGAAGAAGGGAAAGGAAAATTTACAACAATAAACTTATTTATAAATGCCACCATGAAAGCTGATAGTATACTTGCTAACATAAAAAATTAGACATATACTATATTATATATTGATTAGCATGAAAATCAGAAGGTGCCTACAGATATTTTGCAATGATATTAGCCTGTCTGCAAAGATCATGTGACTCTGAGGTTTGAGTTATTCCATGGGTATGTTCTTTCCTTTTCCTCTTTAGCAATGGAGCAATTATGCCCAAGTGAATGCACAGAAATGGGCAGACCGGTGCTATTACACACCCAGTCTTCAAGGAGACAGGACCACTGGTATGTAAACTCAATGTCACTTACAAATGAATGGAGAGTTACACAGGAAAGCCCATTTTCTCATATCGTGCTTACAAAAGTTGTAAATAAACACCAATTCTGATGCTGCCTTTTTTAACGTTAAATATCTCTGGGGCAGAGATGGCTCTGAAAGGCTCTACTTTGTGCTTATTGAATGTTTTATATTTTACACAAACTGTCTTTCCTGATGCTAGCTTTATGTCTTGCAACCAGTTTACAATTAAAGCAAGGTATAGATTGTCTTTTTCTCTGCTTTAAAGATTAGAAACTGATGTCTTGATCAATATCATTACTAATTAAGGCCTTATAAAGGAAATTTGAAATCAGAATCTCTTTTTTATTTTATCCTATTATTGTTTTATTTATGTGTTTGTGTGTCTCTGTGTATTTATGCACGTATGCATGTATGTAAGAATGCTTCTAGAGGCCAGAAGAAGGCACCAGACCCTGGAGCTTACAGGTTACAGGTGTTTGTTACAGTGCTGTTGTTACAGGTGGTGGTAAGCTACACTGTATGGACATTAGGAGTTCGATGTAATCCTACTGAAATAGCAAGGCATACTCTTACATGCTCAGCCATTTCTCCAGCATTCTGAAATTAGAATTTCTGTCTTTAACTCACTATCTTAATGATGTGGCTTGTTGTGCTTCCAAGCTATCTTTTCAATTATAGTATATTTAATTTGATCAACTAATTCATCATTTTTCCCTCAAGAAATATCAAATATCTTGTCATTTACATTTACTACTTCTTTTACTATTTTTGATGGGGAGGAGACAGGTCTCACTGTATAGCCCAGGATATCTTCAAATTTCTGATCTTCCAACCTCATCTTCCTAAGTACTAGGTTTTTGTGTCTAAGTCAACAATGTGTGTGAACCCAGCTCTTCCTTCATTTTTTTTTTAGATCAACTTATGAATGCCTGAAAGGACATATTATGTTAAATTAAAAATAAACAATGTTTACATAAGGAAGTATATAAATGATAACAAAATTAATAAATGGATCATGAGATAAAATATTTCTGAAAACATTAAGAATGATCACCTTTGGCCCAATTTAAACCTAGTAAATTAATAATCTCTTTTAAAGGTTTTACTTCTTAGAAGTTTCTAATTTAATAACATGACTAAAAATTCATTAAAAGTCTACAATATTCAGTTAAAGTTTAAAGTAATTTTTTATTTACTGAGTTTGACAAAAATACTAAGCTATTGTTGGGGGTTAAAAGATGCTTTTTTTCCATTCTCTGAAGGAAATATGGCCCATGAAATTTTAATTTTCTAGTTAAGACATGACTGTAACACAAATTGCTAAATGGTACTATTAACCAAAAACCAGGAGCCAGGTATTTGGGTGAAAGCTGAAAGATCAGAGAGCAATCCAGCCATGTCTTATCTCTAGGAAATCCTCAGCTTTCAAAACAGAGCTACTTCTTGTATACTCACTCCTATATACCTTTCTTGCCCTGACGTCTTACCTCTTCTTTCCACCCAGCTACATCATTTTCTCTTCCCATCCTGTTCTATCACTTCCTGTCTGTCTGTATAGACCTCCAGACTTCTATGGTCAACTAGTGCTGGTTTAAAGGCGTGTGCCACCATGCCGGGCTCTGTTCCCAATGTGGCCTTGAACTCACAGAGATCCGGATGACTCTCTGCCTCCTGAATGCTAGGATTAGAGGCAGGGGCTACCACTGACTAGCCTCTATGTTTAACATAGTGGCTAGCTTTTTCCCCTGATCCACAGATAATCTTTATTTATTAGAGCACAAATAAAATATCACCACACATGACCTATAAACTTTGAAAATATAATCCCTTCTGCTTTGTTTTCTTTGTACTTGTAGTTTTTTAAAGAATGACTGTAAAGAAGGCTCACACAGAACAATAATCCTAAATATGTAAAATTGTTACAAAAATCTCTAGTTACCAAGAAAAAACATTAAAGGAGTTCATCTTGATCTTCTTTAAGACTGCAAATCCACATTTGGTACACATGAGGCACAGGCATGTGTGTGTGTGTTTATGTGTGTGTGTATGTATGTGTCCTGCTTTTTTCTTTATTGCTGTCTTTGTGAGTGGTCTATCTTTTTTCTTAGACATAAGATGTGGTGAGAATGTCTTCATGTCACGTTACGCAGTATCATGGTCTCATGTAATCCAAAGCTGGTATGATGAATCCATAGATTTCAGGTTTGGTTCAGGCCCAAATCCAACTGATGCAATAGTTGGAAATTATACTCAGGTAAGAAAAACTACTGTCTCTGTAAGTGCTAGGCAAGGAAATATTTTTAATTACTTGACTGATTTCAATGAAGAATATCTGTGCAGAGAGTTTTATTTTCTTTTTGAGACATGATCTCACTATGTAGCTCAGAATGGCTTTGAACTTCCTGTCATCCTATCACATTCTCCCAATTTCAGGGAGTATAGAGAGAGTGCATACCAACTGTACACCTTGGGGAAGATCTTGAGTGGTTGGTTGTTCATTGGTCTTGACACTCATTGGCTATTTGAGCTGCCAGCTTTCAATGTCTTATCTAATCTTTGTAAGGGAACATACTTGCTTTTTTTTTTTTTCTAACCATAATTTCTTGACTCAAGTCCCCAAACAAGGATAATGGCCTATATTCTAAGGCAACTTTACAGACTCTAACAGATCTGTACATCTGTTCTGTATGGCTCCTGAGTGAAAAGGGATAAGGTATCTCCTGGACTTTTATTGCCAGAAACCCTGACAGCTAGCTTCCTGCTGGATCTAAAGTCCTGGGCCTTGGGCCCTTTCATTTCTAATACAATGATTCTTTTCAGCAAGAATTATATTTAGCAACATTGTGGCTCCATCCTGTCCATTGTCAAAGAGGGCCTTCTAAACCTAGGAAGAAGGTGATGTGGGTATCCTGCCTGGCTGGGTAGAGAGAAGATACAGATGTGGTACAGGCATGCAGCAGCTCCAATTCCCGGGCCTTATCAGATCCTCCAGGGTGAGAGACTTGGGCTGAAACACAGTTTCAGGAGGGACCAGGATATCCAAGGCCAGAGCTCCACACAGAAGCACCTACCAAGTACAACTTCTAGGAAATATGTTGAGTGTTGGCCTTCCACCAGGCTGAACCAGCAAGGCTTGCCAGCCACTCATGGTCCCTGCCCACACAGAAAAGAAGATACTCATGATCACAGCTTAGAGTATCAAACTGAACAGTCTCTTCTGTGCTACTGGGAGGAAGTTCTAGTTCATTTTCCAAGGCCAGGGCTCTATAGACAAAGAACACTTGATTTTGCAAAAGGACTTCAGAGTAGTCACAAGCAACATCTTGGTCAGTTTGATGTCTGACCAGGAATTGACCTGATATCCAGGTTCCCCTCTAGCTGTTTATGGTCACATGCCAGTGGGGTTGGAAGCAGTGTCAAAGATGTTATACATCACACCTGGGTCCTCCTGGTATCCATAGATTCTTTGATGTCTTCATTTTGACACCAAGCTTCTTGGCCTCAGCCAAGCCTTCTGCATCTTCATCATCTTGCAAACTCTCAAAGGTGACAAAGAAGAAGCTTCTCTGAGATGGGGCTGAAGCCACTGTCAGTCTCCGTAAAACCTCCACTCGGTACTTCCCAAAAGTTTTCCAGACTAACTGACCAACAGTAGCCTCTTAGGGATGTTCTAACATCTGTAGTTTGAGTCAATCACTTAACTTTGTCTATAAGACATATAGAAACAAGGTATACCAGCGGTGTTTTTAATTTTGTGTTTGTTTTTCTGCACTATTTTCTTCTCTGACCTGTGCCCTGTCTTCATCTCTGGGTGTATAGGTTATTTGGAACACATCTTTCCAAGTTGCTTGTGGAGTTGCTAAGTGCCCTTACCAATTACTGGAATATGTATATATTTGTCACTATTGTCCTCTGTAAGTATCTGCTTCAAAGTTCATTTTCAAATGCAATTTGACCTTTTTAAAATATCATAGTATAAAAGCAAATTAAAGATATTTTACACATGGAGAGGGAAATAAAAACTTCTAAATATTCCCTAGAGTTGAAACTTATTTAACTAAATCTTTGAAATGTCCGTCTCATCAGTTCCATGAATCATTTTCCTCATCTTTAAAAATGGTTTCTCTTCCCTCCTCCATTGCTGTTTTCTGGACTTAATGGTGACCTCATGAGGACCCAAGTATGAGGATCGTGAATTCCTATTGTCTGTTCATGCTTTGTTTGTAGGCTACAAAGCAAACTTTTAATAGTAGACCAGGAGTGAACATGAGTGAATGACACAGGTTAGTGATTGTGGTGCTTCTAATTAATTGATCCTACTCCTGATTATATAGGTTATTGGATCTGTTTTTAAAATTTAATTGTTGAGGTGCGATAGTGTTTCACAACTTTAATCCTAGGACTTGGAAGGCAGAGGCAGTCAATCTTTGTGAGTTTGAGGCTAGTCAGGGCAACACAGAGAACCACTGTCTCAAAAATGCAAAGTTTTTTTTTTATATTTTGCGAATTTCATATAGAAGTACTGTATTTCCATCATTTCCACACTTCCCTCTACTGGAATCCTTCCTACCACACACTTCCTCACAAATTCATGATCTCAGCTTTGTTATTGTACATGCACAAAGCCACACATGGACAAAAACAGATGCAGATGTAATTAAAGCATTTTTAAAGACAAATTAAGTTAACAGATTATGAATATGTATTCATTTTTTTATGGAAGTTTTTAAAGAGCTCAAACACAGCATAGAAGGGAAGTGAATTTCTGGCTTTAAAATCAGGATCTAGAGAATGAGTTTTTCAGATTTTTTTTAGTAAATTCTAAGGAGAAAGTGTTAAGATTTTAGCTTTCTTAAGTATTTGAAATACATTAAGGACCTCTCAAAGAGCCTTTGAAGTTTCAGACTTAGTAAATTCTTACAGGTATAAGGCAGCAACACAGGGTTTTAAAGATAAATCTGTGGTGTAGAATTTTTTCTGTTTTTTCAGAGGATCCAAGTTTGGTTCTCAACAACCACATCAAGTAGGTCATAACTATTTCTTATTTTAGCTTTGTATTTTTTATTTTTATTTTTTATTTTATTTCATTTTTCTTTATTAAGAAATGTTCTACTCACTCCTCATGCTATCCACAGACCCTCCCCCTCGTCCTCCCTCCTCCAACCCCTCAGCCCTCTTTCCCAAGCCACCCTGCATCCCCACATCCCCCAAATTGAGGTCTCTCATGGGGAGTCAGCAGAGCCCAGCTCACTGAGCCTAGGCAGGTCCAAGCCCCTTCCCACTGCACCAAAGCTGTGCAAAGTGTCACACCACAGGCATCAGATTCCCAGAAGCCTGCCCATGCACCAGGGACAGATCCTGATCCCCCTGCCTGGGTACCCCCAAACAGTTCAAGCCAAACAACCGTCTTCCATGTCCAGAGGGCCTTGTCCAGTCCCATGGGGGCTCCACAGCCAGCAGTCCACAGTTCATAGGTTTCCACTAGTGTGGTCCATCATATCTGCACATCCTCCCATCATGATCTCGATGTCCCTCAACTGCAGTATCTCTCCTCTCTCTCATCAATTGGATTCCCGGAACTCAGCCTGGTGCCTGGCTGTGGATCTCTGTATCTGCCTTCATCTGTCACTGGTCAAAGGCTCTATGATGACAGCTAGGTTATTTGCTAGGCTGGTCACCAGGTTAGACTGGTCCAGGCACCCTCTAGACCACTGCCAGCAGACCAAGGTGGGGTCAACCTTGTGGATTCCTGACAGCCTCCCCAGCACCCAGCCTCTTCCTATTCCTATGATGTCCTCATCTATCATGGTATCTTCCTCCCTGCCCCACCCACTCTGTCCCTGGGTCATAACTACTTTTAACAATACGACTAAGGACCTTTTCTGACCTTTGTGTGTGTGTGACTGTTCACGTACATAAATAAAGCAACAGAAATTAAGCTCGGAAAAATAGCAATCAGGCTAGTCCTTGTTATGTTTTTGCAGAAAGTTATAACTATTGGTTATTTTCCCCCTCAGTATCTTACATAGCATCTTCTAACATTATGAGAGCTAATCTGCAGGAAGGAGGCATCCAGGTCAATTCCAGCTCAATTCCTCCAACTCCTGTGTCTGAAGTTGGTGATGTTTTTAACAATAGGCTCTTATCTTTGAGTTCAGGGAGGCAACCAAGGGTGATAACAAAAGGTTATATTGCCCTGGATAAGGAGCTATGGGTAATCTATGGGTGTTGAGAAAGAATCAGTTTTCTTCAGAGAGGAGACTCCTGATAGGTTATCCAGTCCCAGGTTGTCAACCCTAAACACTTGTAAAGACCAAAGTCGTCAAATCCTGTGGCACTGTAGTTACAGACAGTTGCAAGCCACCTGAAGTGGATGCTGGGAACCAAACCCAAGTCTTCTAAAAGAGGAATATGTACTTTTAAGTACTGAGACATCTCTCCACGTCTATTATCCTTTTAATGCAAGAAACTTATACAACAAGAGGATGAGGGTCTTCAAATCAAGTCTTTTAAATGACTCATTTCTAATCTGTTTGTGGGTTGAATAGTAGGATCCTCAAAGAATTTTCAAGCATGTTTCTGTTGGCATTAAGTAATATAAAGAAGGAAGCCACTAGACTCCATCCAGCTGCCTGGTCAAGTAGGCATCTGGAGTCTGGTACCTAGAAGTGTCAGATGAGTAATGAAGAGGAGCAAATGACAGATCTTGTACACTGCTTTATGACTTTTTCATTCTTAACATTGCTCATACACCTAGAGCTGTGTTCTGCATATAGAGGTAAGGTTGTGCTGCAAGCCCTTGGGCATTGCACACCCCCTGCCACCCTTAGTGCAATGGAGAATCTGACTTTTCTAATTTCCTGTGATGATCAGCTAAGTGATGCTCCTACTGAGGGGTAGGCTTGGCACTTTCAGAGTACTGCACCCTTCAGAGAGTTTATATAAAGAGTTTTTCTCATTAATATTCTCATTTTGATAAGCATAGAAGTCTCAAACCCACATGCTAACTTCAGAAAACCCCGAACGTTCCTAAGCATTAGGATTTTCCCAATTATACACCTAAATATATAATACCTAAAACTCAGTACATCATCATCGTTACCTCATCCACACTATCGGAATCACAGCATTTTCTTGTATCTAACTTTGTCTATAGGAAATATCTTTTATACTCGAGTAGCATTCCTGTCTTATATGTTTTCCAGGTTATCAGGAAATGAAAGAGTGTTTCAACATTACAACATTTCTAAACCTTTAGATTCTTATTTACTCTATTTCAGTTACTTAGATTCTGAGATGATGGTTGAGGGAAAAAGTGAATGGATTTATTATCCCGTCATTTCACATATCTGAGTACTCTTAGGAAATGTTAGGTTTTTGTATAGCATAGGTAAAGCTATTAATAGGAATCCATATATATGTATGTATATATATATATGGAAATATATAGAGAGGTGATATACGCAAGTATTTGAGTGTATAGGTAAAAATTGAAAGTATTTGATGTTTTCCATTTCATTTTCAGTGGTAATACTGTAAGACGGCAATACATTCCTTACACAGTGGGAGAACCATGTGCCCTTTGTCCTGATCACTGTGACGATGGACTATGCAGTAAGTTTTATTAACATGCTAATGTAATAATATAAAATGTTAATCTGCTGTAAGACTTAATAGCATAGCCTTATTTTCAAGAGACAAAAATGTACTTAACATCATTTTTGGAATTATAAATTTTCCTCTGTTTAGGATGTACTTTTGACATTGAAAAACAGGATACTTTATGTTGTCTAAGGTTACATCTAAAAATCAGTGCATACTTGTGACTATATTGGTATTATTGCTATTGGAGTGTACAGAAATATCCCTGTGGCTATAATTCCATAAATTTCAAGTGAATTTTCTTATCCTCAATAACTTTAGGACAAATAGCTTAGCACAATAAAATCTTTTTTTGTTTTGCTTTTTGAGACAGGGTTTCTCTGTGTAGTTTTGGGGCCTATCCTGAATCTCGTTCTGTAGATCAGGCTGGCCTCGAGATCCGCCTAACTCTGCCTCCTGAGTGCTGGGATTAAAGGTGTGAGCCACCACTGCCAGGCTAGCACAATAAATTCTTAAACTCCCCCAGAGCATCATTTGAATTTTGTGTTACACTTTTATTTACTTGTAAATGGGTATTTGTGTCGCTCATTATATGTACAGACACCTGCATTTGTAAAATGGCTTCTGTGTGTGATTGTGTGTTGAAGTTAGAGGACAACTAGTGTGAATTGGTTCTCTCCCTTGATAATAAAGGTGTGAGAAATTTCATCACAGGAAGGGAGTGACATGAATGTCATAGTATCTTGTTTTTAGTATTATTATGAATATAAATACAAAGAATAAATATAATCCCAACATTCTGGGGGCAGAGGAAGGAGAATCAGGAGTTCAAACACAGGTTGGATTATTGATCAAACTTCAGGTCAGCCCAGGCTACATAAAGGAACTGTAAAAGTAATAAGGTATTTATAAAAATGGGAAATAACATCAAAGTTAATATAGAAAATTCTGGTGGCAATTCGCTGGGATTTTTGTGCATTCTCCAGTGAATTACAGAATTCTTTATTGTGTATTTGTGTAAATTAAGTTCACAATGCTAATGATATTAAGATTATAAACTAAAAAAGGAAGAACCAAATATCCACAGCTCTGCTGAACGTGCTTTTAAAGGAGACTATCCTAGCAGCAACAAGCAGAAAATTAAAAAAATAACAAACAGAAATAGAAAGAAAATGATCTTTATTTTTATTTTTGTAGTTTAATTTACTTATTTGTGGTTTAGGCTGTTTTCAGTCTTGATATAGGGTCTCACTATGTAACTAAAGCTCACCTAGAACTATGTAATCTAGTCTGATCCCAATCTTCCGAATCTTCCTGTATGCATCTCCCAGGTGTTAAGGAAATTGTATCCTCCAAAGAACTCTTAGACAAAGCATAATGAAAGAGCCAAGTAGGATATATCAATTCAGAACTAGTCATTTTGTGTTATTTGTGCAAAAGTTATGAAATTGGCTTGCAGAGAGAGGAGGTAGAATACTAATACTTTTTCGTTAACTGTGCTTGTTCAGTGATGATGAATATATACAAGTATGTGGAGATGTATAAAGGGCAAAAAGGCCTTGTGCACACAAGTAACCACCAGGGAAGTCAGGAAAATTAAACATACAGCTTATCTCTTCAGTGGAATGAGATGCATAACTGCTCTTTCTGGAATGTCAGGAATTACATAGTTTTACACCCTGGTGATCCTTTGCTGTCCGATGAGACAGGCTCCACCGTATCTCCCAGAATTTTTTTCCTTATCCTAGACCCTTATCTGTAAATCTTCAGCAATGATTTAGGTCATAAAACCCATTCTTACGACTGATGTCACTTGTGCTTTTCAACAGCCTAAGTGACTTCTATTCTTCTTAGGGCCTGGCCAATCCTGACACCCACAGGGGTTATGTTTACTTCAGTCATCTTCCTAGGCCCTGAATCTGGGACACTATCTCTGAGTCAACAGTACTCATTCTTATGAAAGAAGCCAGATGTACTTTGTAAAGAATCTCCATGTAAACATGTCTTCAATTGCTGTGTACTTGGGACTGAGTTAATTGTTATCAGAAAACTTTTTTTTTTTTTTCCAAAATTGTGCTGGACTTAAACATGGCTAATGTAAAATGGTCTGGGCCAGACTCTGGAATTCCTGGCCCAGCACTGTTACCATAAATTCAGGCTGACTTTCATTCTTATCTCTTCATGGATCATGTTTGTTTTTCCTCCTGGAGCTGGAAAGCCTGCAGAGAAGCACCACACAAGGTGAAAGAGGACAAGCCGTGTGCCTGTAGTGGTGCTTCTCTGGAGGTGGAATTAGCAGAGGTATGTGATTGTGTGGGCTAGATTCTAGCCTAGGCAACAAATAGGACTCTGTCTCAATAAACATTACCAAAAGTACAGAGGAATAAAGAAGTTATTTTGAATGATTTGGTAATTATGAATTTCCAATTCTCTGAGGCATGGGTGAGTTGAATGGAGGGTCATGAGCTGTCAATATACATTAAAGACATGACAAAGACTATAGGGTGAATTTCAAATGAGTTTTCTTGAGTTGTTTGTCACTGCTGGACATTTGAATATAAATACCTAATAATCAGAAGAAAATTCTCTACTACCTACATTCCCAAGTCTCTGTTTTCACAAAATTAGCTTCTCTGGTACAAAAAAAGTAAACAAACAAAATCTAAGGCAATCATGTACAACAGAACATTCTGGAATGATTTAATGGTCAGTATTTTCACCTAAAGAAGCTGACTGCTAGGCACAGTAGCTATAGAACATGTTAATGAAACTATTTTAGTATTTATCTTTATTTTATTTTTATAAATGTTTGTGTGCACGTATGTATTTATGCACATACATTTGAACCCAGTGACCATGGAGAACAGGAGAGAGCATTAGGTCCTATGGAACTGAAGTTACAGGTTATCTTAAGCCATGATGTGGATTCTAAAAATCAAAACTAATTTCTCTGCAAGAAGAGCAAAGACTGTTAATCACTGAGCCATCTTTCTAGCCTCTAAATTGTTTAGTTCCTCAAAGAATCACTTAAGTTAATTTTTTCAAGCCTTTTATGACTGAAGAAATTTATTTCAAGACATCTCATAAAACTCTAATTTAAAGGACATTCATTCATTTGCTCAATCCACTCCTCCCAATTCATATGTTTTATTTTGTCACTGTTAATAGAGTAAAATAATAACAAAGTAATAAATATCTTTGTTCTTTTTTCAGCAAATAGTTGTGAATATGAAAATAAGTACGTTAACTGTGCAGAGTTGAAGACTTCACTAACCTGTGATTATCCAATGGTTAAACAAAACTGCAATGCTACATGCAACTGTGAAGGCAAAATTCATTAATTTTCCAGTAGAAATGAACAGGGCCATGTGAAGAAAGACCACCTCCTCTGCTTAGGCTTGTCACATTCCAGTAGGAAATTAAAGGTATAGATACATTGAAATGATTCCAAACAGTAAACATTCCGTTCTTCCGTATCATTCCATTTAGTAGAAATATTTTACATCCAAAGATTTTAAAATAACATAATCAGTAATACCTTTGAACCTTGACCTCTGATTTCTGAGTCAAGCCCAAGGCTATACTGTTTGTCTGTATGACTAAGGTCTCTGAAACTCCTTCCTGAAAATAAGAATCAGGTTCCCAGAGCACAATGGAGTAAAGGAACAGCATATACTTCCACTGTAACTGTCAGTCATCTTCCCTAGCTCTACCTAGCTAACTATATCTGAAAACAAGTCCCCATTAGCTTTCTTTGATTTCTTCCCAACATTTGATCCTCTTCAGATGTGTGGGAATTAGTGGTTCAAATTCTAAACTTCAATTTACATTTTAGTTTTTGGGTTTTTCAAGCACCTTATAAAAATGAAATGTAATGAACAGAATTTGCTTGTCCAGGTGATTGCACTGACCTTGATTGTTTTAAAAAATTTAAATAAATCTTACTATTTGCATATTAATCCTCCCCTAGTATTTGTTTGAATTTCTGATTTGGAGTTTGTTTATTCCAGTATGGTATTACAATATTTATGATACAGTTTACTTAATTTTTATTAACATTAAGGTTCTTAGCCTTTACAAGAATTTGCATTAATCAGTACACACTTCAATTAATAAGCAATAGTAGAGTCAAGTTTGATAAATAATCCTAATCCTAACCTGGCATATCCAACCTTCAGGCCTAGCCCAGATCATATATCTGCTATGCCGGCACAGACTGGTGAGTCCAATGGACCCTAGATCACCTGTATAACCCCAACCTTAAGACATCCTTTGCACTGGGATAACTCTGATGCACCCTAGAATCTAACATCAGACAGACAATCAGTGAAAGAAATCCACATTCCCTGGTCAAATTGCTAAATCACAATATGTACAGTCCAGCAGTGTGACCCCATCCAACAAAATCCAATACATTTACAGAACCATTTTACAATTAGAATGAAACTCGGGGCACAAAAATCTTTAAAACATCATAAAATTTTATCAAGGAATTTGAAGATTTAAGGAAGACATTGTAGCCTGAAGGTTTTCCTGTGTCCTGCTCAGCCAGCAGTTGGGACAAGTCTTTCCCACTCACGTCCCCCAAGTAAGCACATAGAGGCTTATATTAATTAACACTGCGCAGCCATTAGCTAAGGCCTACAACTGACTAGCTCTTACTCTTAAACTCAGCCCATTTTTGTTTTGCCACGTATTCCATGGCTTTACTTGTATATCATTACATGCTGCTCCGTGGAAGGCGGGCTGGTGTCTCCTCACTCACCCTTCCTTTTCCCAGAATTCTCCTTGTCTGTTTATCCTGCTTATAGTTCCTGCCTGGCTCCTGGCCAATGAGCATTTTCTTAAACCAATGTACAAAGACATTATCCCACAGCATTTCCCCTTTTCTGTTTAATTAAAAAGGAAAGTTTTAACTTTAACATAGTAAAATTATATATAACAAAACAGTTATCATAACCCAGGAAAACCATAATTATCTAGTCTTCAACTACTTCAAAGACCCTAGAAGGATATATTACCTAAGTAAACAGGAAGAACATTGTAAGCACCTTCTAAAAATCTAGAATGACAGAGACTGCTGGCTGCCTGGAGAGTCACCCAAAGTTCTTCTGCAATGTTGGGGCAGCCATCTTTAGCCTATAGGCCTAGAGTCTCTCAGTCACTTCTCTCTGTGTCCTGTAGAATGTTGGCATTCTCCTATGTGAAGCAGGATTCTGAAGGACCATTCCATCTTGCAAAGTTCAGTGGTCACCTTCCCATGGGTCCTGCATGTCCTGTCGATACAACATTTTGTCAAGCAGTCTAGGCAAGAACAGATTCTTGCCCAAATAGCTATTTTTGCCAAGAAGAAGATAAACTCCATCTGGAGTGTCTTTGATGCCCATCTATCTTGTTGAATCAGCGCTGCCAGGAGCAAATGTATCTCATTGTCTAGAAAGTCTTAAGTTTTTAAAACATTTTAAATAACATATTCTGTAGGTCTTTGAAGTGTTTGAAGATTACCTACCTAATTGAGTTATATCTATGTATACCTAGAAAACTAACATAAGTTCAACTATCATAGATGACTTATTACTAATCTGTATTTCTTAATTATCCATTACAATTTAAATGAGTTACATAAGCATAATACCTTAAACAAGAGTAGAAATATACTTATAGTATAAAAATTTAACTTTAAATTTGTATCAATAAACTAAAATCCATAGCAATAAAAAAATTTTTAAGCAAGTTGTTGCTCTTTAAAAGTAGATTCAACAATCTACCCTTTTATCCTATCATATCTATATCCTATCCCCTTTTTTTTCTTTAGAAAGATATTGCCTATGACCAAGAACAATTTATAACCAATCTCTAAACAAAGACAAATATACATAAGCCATTTTTTTGGGAATGTGGGCATAGTTCTAGGCTACTTTCTGCTGATAGGGGGCACTGGTAGTCTTATGGGGATCCTAAGAAAATTTGAGACAATGGTCAAGTCCTGGGAAGAATAGCTAAAACCTTTGTTGATAGGTACTATCTGTTAAGTTTCTGGAGGTCTGGCTTGATCAAATCTGATCCATCTTAACCTGGAACAAATACAGAGATTCTTGCCTCCTGTGGAAACAAAAAGAGAGTCTCCTTTCTAAAGCAACACATCCTTCGACATAAATTTTGAAATTGAGATACCTCTAAAATATACATATTGATTTAACTCAGCAGCTTTTACAATCTGCAGTTTAAAATCCCTAAGACAATATAATCCAGACTCTCTGTGTAATTTCCATCTTTAAGTGGCTTATTTTTTATATTAATTTTACTGTCTCTTTAAAGACTATTTTTTTTAAACTATTTCTTTATTTAACTGTCTATTGTAGCTAGAGTTTTCCTGCCTGGCCCACAGTCAGGATAAATCTCTATCACCTGCCAGTCCCACAGCCATCAGACCCAACCAAGTAAACACAGAGACTTATATTGGTTACAAACTGTATGGCCGTGCAGACTTCTTGCTAACTGTTCTTACAGCTTAAATTAATCCATTTCCATTAATCTATACCTTGCCACATGGCTCGTGGCTTACCGGCATCTTCACATGCTGTTTGTCATCGTGGCAGCTGGCAGTGTCTCTCTGACTCAGCCTTCCACTTCCCAGCTTTATTCTCCTCCTTGTCCCGCCTATACTTCCTGCCTAGTCAATGGCCAATCAGTGTTTTATTTGCTGACCAATCAGCAACACATTTGCCATACAGGACATCCCATAGCAGTCTATCCCAGTTTTCCGCTTTCTTTCAAGCCTACATACATTTTTACACACATTGTAAATCATTTAAAGTCTTATTCCATCTGAATCTGACTTATTGGGAATCTATTACTTTGAACTTCAGCATTACTAGGAAGGAAAGGGCAGCTTTGGCTGCTGGCTTTGCCCACCTTGGCCTTCCAACATGGTAGAACTTTGTTTACTACAAGCTTGGGAGAACAATGATCACCACTTGACTCTTGTAGGCAGTGGGTCTATGCCTCCATCCAGGAGCATGTAGCCCAAAAAACTCTTCATTTTTTTTTTTTTTATAAAAAGCTAAATTCATTAAACATTGTGCTGCATAGTTTGCAGAAACCACTGTGTACAATTGCAGGAATCTGCCACGATGCACTCAACCCATATGCTGCTGTGAACCCACCATACTATAGTTTAAGCCCACAGGCTGCAGCTAGCCTGAGAGAGACAACTAGGAAGCTGTTTTTAGCTCCATTTTAGAATCTTGGTTTTTTTTTTTTTTTGTTTTTTGTTTTTAAAGCTTACTCAGGTTTTAGGTGGAAACTCTTGCCCCACATTTTGGCGCCATTTGTAGCTGAAAGTTTTTCTGTGTCCCACCTGGCTCATGGTCAGGACAAATCTCTCACCCACAGTCCCACAGTCTTTCAGGTCCAAGTAAACACATGGAGGCTTATATTAATTAAAACTGCTCAGCCATTAGCTCAGGCTTACCACTGACTAGCTTTTAGACTTAAACTCAGCCCATTTTTGTTAATCTATATGTTGCCACATGTTCCGTAGCTTTACTTTTGTGCCATTACATGCTTCTCCCTGGATGGTAGGCTGGTGTCTCCTCACTCAATCTTCCTCTTTCCAGAATTCTCTTTGTCTGATTATCCTGCCTATACTTCCTGCCTGGCTACTGGCCAATCAGCATTTTATTAAGCCAGTGTACAAAAACATTATCTCATAGCAAGACATGAACAAACATCTCAAATAACATGAAGATAATAGTGCCTGAGTGATGTCTAGTGTGTGTGTGTGTGTGTGTGTGTGTGTGTGTGTGTGTGTGTGTGTGTGTATATATGTATATATACATATACATATATATATACATATGTATGTATGTATTGTAAAATGATGAAGACAATTCAGAAATTGAAAATTATATTCAGGAAGAGAAAGAAATATTAAAAGTAACTCCAGCTGAAAGAAAGGTGGAATTGAAAAAGTAACCAAAGTTCAAGGGAAGGTCAAGTAGATGAATGGAGTAGATGATAGAATATCAAGACTTAAAGCAAAATCAAAAGAACTGGGCCATTCAAGTAAAGACTTTAAACATTAAATAGGTACATACAGGAAAGCAACATGCAAAAGTGTGGTTTGCCATGGAAACATCAAATCTTGAACTTTTAGGCATAGAAAAAGGAGAATATTTTATTCTCCTTCAGATATTCAGATAGTTTTGCTGGGAACAATAGTCTAGGTTGGCATTCATGGTCTTTTGGAATGTGAAATACATTGCTCCAGGCTCTTCTGGTTTTTACAGTTTCCACTGAGAAATCAGCTGTTAATCTGATGAGCTTTCTTTTATATTGA